TATATATATATATATATATATATATATGCACCTAAACTTGTAGACATGCACTGCCGTGAAGACCAATAAACCTCCCCGCCTGAGTAACAAAGAAAAAAATATATGTATAGATATATACACAAGAGAAAAGTAGAAATTTTGAAGAAACAAAAGAAATCGAGAAAAAAAAAACAAACGAAATGAACAAATACAAATGAACAACATCTCTTGTTGCTTTTTTGTCTATCAGAAAACTTTAAAAGTCAAAAAGAATAAAGTTTCAATTGATCAATCATTTCGTTTGTCCATGAATCAAACAGACGTAATATAGATAGACGAGTAAAGAGAAGCGCGAAAAAAAAAATGAACCAGAGAAAAAATAACAGCAAAAATAATGAATAGATGAAAAAAAGCATGCTTTTTGAAAAATGTGGCCAAGTTTGAAGGAAAATGAGAAAGAATAGTAATAGTGGCAGTAAAACGTTGAAATATGAGGAAATAAGGAAAAAAACTATATGAAGTAATGGTGAAATTTTTGTAAACTAAAGGTAAAAATAGACAAGAAAAAAAAGTAACTAAGGCATCTGTAACTGTAAAACAAATAAACTGTAAGCAAACAAAAAATGGGAAGAAAAAGTACCTTCTGTTTTCCATGGCTTAAAAATTGCACTTTTTTTTTGTGGTGTAAAACCCCCTTTGGAAAAAAAAACCTTTCCTTACTGCCACGCCAAATTGTGACAAAATGTCCTAAACTGAATTCCTTAACCACTTTTTCTGTCACTCATCTCTGCCGCAAATGTGTTGATCAGAAGCGCTACTGTGACTGAACCGATTAGGAAAGGACTAAGTGACTAACCTCAACTATCTATCTTTATATTCTTCGTTCATGCCACCACTGTCATTTAAATTCTAAAGCTATTTATACTGTTATCCCATTTTCTTTGTACTTTAGTCAGTAATTTAGCAAAAATATCTGTGTACAAAGTATAAGCAACTGTAACTGATCATCTGAGTGTACGGTAGGCAAAAAGATGATTGAAGAAGAAATACCGAAAAATAACAGAAAAACTAACAGCAATGTAATCTTTGGCTCGTGTTAACAACAATAATGTTGTGTTACGGGTACTGTCTGCACCCATTGGTACAATATCCTTCAATTTATCCAGGTATCCACGCAAATTTGCACGTCGCGTTTTCTCCAGTTCATTATGTATAGCACTGAAACCAATAAGTTTCAACTAAATGTTGAATGTAAATTCCACTGCAGACACTATACAACTGGAGCAACAAAGAAGACGGCCAAAAACTACAAGAAAAATAAATATCAAAAAAAAAAAAAAAAACTGATCTATGATCCCTAATTCTCATTGGAATAAAGCAGTTTCTGCAATTTTTACGCGCCTGTTCCCTCTGAAAGCCACACTCTTTTGCTTCCTATTTGTCCTAGCCTTTTCGACTCTTTTCTTTTTTTGTTCCTACACATATTTTTCAGTGTTCTAAAAAATTTGCTCCATACTGTTCAATTTCTTCGACATAATCTTTGCAAAACAAAGGCGGGGGTGCGAACAGACGGTGACTGACTGACTGTTCCGATGAGAGAAAGACATACGGTACCTGGTGCCTGACTGTTCTCAGGTGGCCGCACGCATGCATAAGACAAATATGGAAACACGA